GGCGTGGTTGGGTGTGGGGTGATGGATGGGTGCGACGTGGGTGGGTGTAGGTTTAAAGAACACCCACACCCTTATAAAGTGGTTCGACAGCCTTTTCCAGCGACATCAGCGGCATTTTTGTGGTATTCTTCTATCGGCAATAGCCAGCATTGTGGTTCTCTTGGAATATCGGGCAGTCGTTCGAAGAATCTTGCGTCGTCAGTAGCTGGCAATTGTGTAGCCATATCCAAAACACTATTGCTAATGTGAAAGTGAAATCTAGAACAAAAAGTGAAAGTACACGTGGATGGCTGCATAGATTAAAATATTCTATAATGAATTAGCTATGAACCTCCTTATTCTGCTAACCACACTAAAAATTTTGCAAATCAAGAAGACACGCTCAATCTACTATGCTCGGTAAGGTTGAAAAACGGCTTCAAGCGTCTTCATCAATATGTAATACTTTTACCTATGGTTGTTGTTAACATTGTGGTGAAATAAATGACGAATTTGTGATAGTCTGCTTTCACAAGTTCGATTCGATCAAAAATTTTCATATTTATATTAAAAGATAACGAATTTTATGCGAATTCTATGAATATATTCTATGACAAAAAAACTGATCAACTAAAAAAATCAACGATCTGCAGTCAGACTTATTGCAAAAATTTCTTCTTCGGAAAAAAAGCTTTTAAATGTTTCGATGTATCTCATGTTACGCTGCAAATCAACAAAAAATCTTTAGCTGGCGAAATCATCCGTTGCTTGGACAATTTTCTTTAAATAAGACATTACAAAAATCCTCGTACTGTTGTGGACTGCCTTATTTTTCCCAGCTCAATATTGTAATTGTGATTGTCTTATTTACCCAGAAGAGCTCTGAAAATTAATATTTTGACAATTTAATGTCTTACTCGTTATTTTAAAGTTCGTGAAAAATGTTTCAACTTAATGGATCCTATCATCTTGAATAAAAGAATCGAGAAGAAAATATTCTTAAGTTTCGAGTTCATGACAAGTTTTCCACTACTAGTCGTTATCTGATTCGTCTGAAAGTTTCATAACTTTCTGAACAACTATTCTCCAGATGTGTCTGAAAGCAGGAAGAAGTCCGTTCATATGACAAAAAATTTCCATACGGTTTTTTACAAGTTGCTAACATTCTCATGTAACATTAGATGGACAAGAGCAACAGATCTCTGAAAAAAATTGTTTGCAAAACGTATGAGATCAAGTTCTAAAAAACGATTTTAAAAACAGAGTTATATCAGTAACGTCAAATACTTCAATAAATAATATTTTTGAACCAGACCATTTTGAATGTACACTTGGACCGAGGATGTCGAGATCTATATCGTGAAACTTTTCTGCTAATGTCACAAGCTTTTTCGACAGTTTCAATAAGTGGCGTTGGTGGCTATCGGTCAAGAGAGTTATTAGAAGTATGCATACTGTTCCATGAGAAAAGAACTGAGACCTCAAAAACTTTAGGTACATAACTAAAACATGATAGAGGCCAAAATGTGTTAGATATAAAACGAGTATGAAATTTCGACTGTACAACTCACCAACTATTTAGTCATTTCTCTCGTACAATGCTTATAAGTAAAACTACTTTTATTTGAGGTGAGTTTTGCGACGTCTATTTTTCGTGTACTGTTTTGTGGAAAGAGTAGGTTTCTAATAAAGAACTCATCTCTGTTATTAGATGATTTCAAAATCATCTAATTTTTGTTTACAGATGATCTGCCTTCTGATTCCACTATCATTTCAAGCGAAGAACAAAATTAAGAGGATTCACAAAGGATTGAACGTTTCCTTCTACGAGAGGTTATAGTGTGAAAACGTTGACTTCTGTCGTTTATTCTAATAATCCATAGCTCATGAGAGGATACGTACAGATCCAAACTTCTAGCCTTTTATCCTGTAAACTTGAAAAACTATGCAGTTTATATTGAACATACTTCTCTTCAAATATTAAAGACGTTGTCATGATATTCGACAACTATTTTCATAGTTTCTCGGAAACTATCGGTTGAACTGATTCACGTAATACCTCCATCTCTTAAGCATCTACGATAATTCATTAAGTAGAGGTAGAAATTGAGGAGAAAATCGGCTTCTTACAAGATTTAGATTTCTAATGTATCAACAGTTACCTTCAATTTGATTCGCGTTCTGCTTCGGTTCGTTTTTCAGATCAGGTTGGAAATTGTTTATTAAAAAGTACTGAATTATGTTAAATTCGAAGTTTTCGTTAACAATGATTGTCTTTTTCTCTATTATAAGATATTTTCAGCTACACGTGATCATGTTTTATATTCTCTTTTAGAAAAGCAATTCATAGCAGTGTTCCAAGCTTTTTCAACCATTTTCTATGGAACACCACGAAGTAGTCATTGACCGTCAGGTGTCAGAGCGCGCTTGAGTCTTATAAAAGGAGAGTTGAGGGGCTTTTTTCTGAATAGAAAAATCTCAAACTCACGTATCATTGCACATCAGACTCGTTTGAAAAGTCAAGGTTAATCAGCTAACTTTACTAATACTACTTAGTCAGAACCATTCCTTTTACTCAACATTTACCGTTGTTATATTCTCTATCAAACATATGCATTTCTTTCATATATCAAACGGTAAATAAAACAATAAGAAACCAGTAATCTATTCTGCAGTTTCATGATGAATGGTTATGAATAATGTGCATGCTATAATGGTATCCTCTATCAATACTCTCACATCTCCAGTGCTATAGTTTTGATCCATTTTATATCATCTTTGATTTGACAGCTGAAATAAGCTTACAGGATCGAATAAAATACAAAATGAAAAGTAAAACAATATGTTCTTTTTTTTCGAAATACTAATGAGGTGATGATGTATTAGCGAATTAATCTTCGTTTTCATGTTGAGAATAATATCATATTTTGTTTCACAAAGGACATGCACGATAGAATCCAATAAAAAAAAAACATGCAGTTTTGTAAAAATATTGCCAGCGTTGCGAATTTTGAATTCAACATCGAAAAGGTTTCTAAGTCTTGAACGACTTACTTTTTTCATATGTCACTAAAGCAGTACAATCTTACTGTTTCTACTCAATATTGTATTTGAAAAGAAGTTTATATCTTACCAATCTATGATAATAGCAGTGAGTGTGAATATGAAAATATCTTTATCGAAAGACGCAACTGATCGGAGATATGTGATAAAAATAGCGTCATCGCGAGGGAAGTAATCCACTTACTCATCAATTTCAAACAATTTGTTAATGCTTACGCGCAGAACGAAAACTTTTCGTTCTTTCGACATATACCATATAAAACAAATTATGACTTCTTTTTTCTCTGTGATATATATATATATACGCGTTTGCACTCTCGAGCAAATAGTGCTGATTGAGTCATACCTCTCTGTTCAAACCGTATGTTATATTTGATAGCATTATCCCTCTGGCGCTGCTGTCTCATGAAGCACGATGGGAATTTTCCAACAGAATGAAATATAAGAATCCATGATTTATACGTGAAGAACAAAACTAAGTTTGAAAAATGCTATTAACTCTCACCAAAGTTCAACAATTTGCGATTCTAGAGCAACCAAGGAGGAAAAAGCAGATTTCAAGACTTCGAGATTTCTAAAGGTTTCAAAAGACTCCAATTAAAGAAAATCTACGTACTGTAATAAATCTCTTCTGCAGAGCTTGTTCACAGAGAGAGCTGTATAAGATAAAATGAGTCTGTGACTATGCTTTCATGTCTCCATCCAACTATGTAGTCACATATTGGCATGTATCGGTACAATCTTAAGGTTGCAATGAAGACAATCGAAGATGAAAAATCTAAATCTGTGATCGAGTACTAGAAAATTCGAACTTTAAATTTTACATTCAGGAAACACTTTCTACAGTAATAAACATGCTTTTGTAAAGTTTCAAAAAAAAAGATACTCACGGTTGAAGAATCCAAATTCTTAATTAGTTTCTGACTGTTGATGGCCATGATTTCTCTTTGATAAAAACTCATTATTTCTCTGAAATACTGTGTGCCTACTGAGAAATCAAAAGAGATGAATGTCACGAAAATTATTACAGACTGAAATTGTTCGACTAAACTTGCGTTCCGTCGAACTTGATAAAAAAAACCATTATTTTGTTAAAATAGGTTTTTTGGATGAAAAAAAGTGAAAGTAGATGATATTTTCCAACTAAATAAAGTATTAGGTGGAAACATGTTAAACTTGATATTTAATTGTAAGCTTTATATCAACATTCAGTACAAGTAGTGCTGGTTACCACAATTCACTTGACCGTCCACTAAACGTGACTTAACCTTCACCTCTGATCACCTACTATATTCTTTTTTGAAAACTAATTTTGTATCTACTGTGCGCCAATATTCCTCAGTGTCACCAATCTCAACTCCTTAACTTTCTGTATGATTGGAATTTAATTTTAAGTGTTTCATTTTTCTCGTGCAAAACACTTTTAGTAGTTCGAAGAAATCCATCAAAATACATTTTCTATTCTTATATTCACTGCTAAATGTATATGATTAATAGAATAAGAAGACGACGAAGTTTAACGGAATAGGTTCAACGTTTTAGTTTGTATAATAGAAATATAACTCACAAGTATGTGATACTAGCGCTGATAAGGTCTATTCTGGCAATTTTTTTTGATAGCCCATTCATGAAAATCGGAGTATTTGTTGTACAAGATCTTTTTCTTTCCATATTTGAAACATCATGAAATTCTTGTTCTTTAATTTCTCTGAAAACAATGCAGAGCATGATTTTCTTTAATAGATATGACATATCTGCATTAATACTGTTGTAGACAGTAGAGATCTAATAATGTTCTTGGTTCAGCAATTCAGATCAAGGGTGTGGATGTGGTTGTTAGAATTGTTGAATTCTTCAGATATTCACACACACCCCCAAACTAGAACTGAAAAAGATTATTAAGAAAGATTTTAAACTTTTATTGTTAGTGTAATAAAGCATCTGATGAACAAGAACTTTTATTTTCTAAGAGCAAATATAATAGCAGCGATGATAAAAAATCCGAGACTCCATGAACTAGCATTGACAAAACCAAGCCATACTTTAAAATGTGTCAATGACCAACCTAAATATTAGATCAAGTTATATTTTTATTAATATAAGAAAAAGAACAAAATACTTCTGGCAGCAATACATCGCATTGCTTCAACAGTATGTGTTAATGGAGTAAAATTACTTATAAAGCGCATTATTGATGGCATGCCTTCGAGTGGCCAAATTATACCTTTAATTTTTAATTACTTATCAGTAAAGAAAATTAAACAAATATATTCAAAAAAGAAATTAACCTGAACAAATTAATACGGGAAAAACGCTTCCGAGTGCCACTTGCATTGCTTCCATTTCTTCATCACACAGGGAAGATATTAGAAAACCTTTTGAAGAATAAAAACAACAATATAATTTATTCTAAATAAAAAAAAAGAAACTACTCTGTTTTTTACCATAACTCATTCCACAAATTCCTTGAAGAAAAATGATTCCTGCTGCTAAGAAGATTGAACCTTTAATCTCAATCTTAATATAAAAATTTAAAAAAAAAACTACAAAAAAAGCGACAACAAACTTTAAATATATAGTGAGTAAAAGTAAGTAGCAATATAACTTGAATAATTTGTATAAAAAATTTAACACTTATATGTGCAAGCATAACTTCAATTGTTGTAACACCGGTAATCCAAGTACGTTCTAAAAGACCTTCTTTTTTCTCAATAACAAATATTAATCCTGTTAAACCAATTGCCAAAAAAAATATTATTGATATCATCATTCCTGGTGCAGCAAAATTTACAAATTTAGGAGCAAGACTTCCATAAACAGGATTTTCTATTATAATTGGTGGATCAGCTACTGATGGATCAATTCCTACACTGGATAAAATTTCTTTTAAAAATACTCCTGTACTATTAATTAGAGCATTTTGCATTGTTAATAATACTTGTTGATCTTAATATAGAAAAAATACATTTTCATTCGTTTTTTATAAAACGATTGAACATGAATAGAATTTCATAACTGCTCGTATGCAATACTTAGTTGAATCTAAGAAAGATTATGATGAACTTTCTAAAGAATTTTTTTCACGAAAATTTCAAGTTCAACCAGGTTTTTAGCTGTTTTCAAGAAATAAAACATCGAAAGTGACACATGTAGTAGACTTTGTTTTTTATTTTATTTTTCTCGAAATCAGTTTTTATATTAAAAAAGTGAAAAGTAACCTTCATCTCTCTGACATTGTGTACTAGAATGAAAGAAAATTTAAAGAAATTACGGTTCTCAAATAGGATCTAGTAAATACAAAAACAAGCGTTTCACTTCTATGTATTCAAAGGTGGTCCTGATATTGAGGGGCAAAAAGTAGATTTCTGCGTATTCCATATTCAGATTTCGGATCAATGCATCGGTATGTAATCAACGCTTAACTATGCAATTCGAGTGGGTTTCAATTTGTTAGATTCACATGTATTAACTCATTTCTTGGGAGTATTGGATGCGAATTGTAGAGCGACATAAGAGTTTTGTTTTATTTTTAAATTAAAATTCTTCTCCAAAATACACAAAAGGGAACATGATTAGGTTTACAATATGTATAGAATGCGAGTCTTCTTCTCTACATTCAGGAAGTCACTCAAACCTATTCCATCTATTAAAAAAATCACTTTTCAATGATCTTTTTACTGAAAATCTTCTTCTAAATACATAGACTTACTGGTCATGTCAAGATAAAGATGAAGTGATGATGCGTTTAGAGTAGCTGGATCTGTCTGCAGTTCTATTAATCTTTAAAATAAAACAAAAATCAATTAAAATTCAAAATACGTAAATTAAAACTAATGCGAACTTATTTTTGACTGCTTGTGTAAAATTATCTTGAATAGCAATGACACCCCAGTGCTGTCCTTGTTTAACAAGATCCATTGATTTATTAAAATCATTATATGGTGTCTTTCATTTTCAAATAAAATTAATTTTAATTAAAAATAAAAACAAATTATTCTAACATACAATATCAATTTGTTGAGGATTTATTTTATTTAAAAGCTGTAAACTTAAATTCCCTGTTGGAAATCCATTTACTGCTTCACCATTATAAAGTGCCATTGAAATATGTTCAACATCACCTATATATCATACTTGAAATAATGTTAAATTAATGAAATTTCAAATCAACTTACGACCAATACATAGACAAAAAAGTGAAATTTGAATAACAGGAATTAGAAATTGAAATATCAGCAAACTAAAAAAAATAAGCCAACACTCATCACTAAACCAAATACCAGAAGAAAAAACAACTAACTTTACCTAATATTTCGTTTAACCAATGTTAAATCTTTCATTATTAATGCATAAATTTTATGTATATGAGGAAATTTAAAATAATCAATAACTATTTGTTTTGCACAAATAGATTAAACATTAATAAATATATTTTATTTCCTATCTGCTTTCGTTCTAAACTTACAAGTTTTTCTTGAATTTTCTTTTCTGTTAACTGTTATCAGAAGACTTTCAACATCTGTATCAGCAATATAAGTTGATTCTAAATTTTGATCGCCAATATTATTGGATACATCGATATCGCGATCACCATTGTTATTATTCATTGTAGTTTGTTGTTGAATACGATTTTGATCTTCATAACATAATTGAAGAAAAACATTTTCTAAACTCTAAAAAAACGAAACCATGTAATTTAATTGAATAAGTTTTTAATAGAATTCTAAACAAACAGTTTCATTATATTGATTTAAAAGATGGTTTGGTTCATCTTCAGCTAATATTCTTCCACTTCGCATAAGTCCAACCTAAATTAAAATTTCTTCTTTATAGTTCATAAATGAAAAAAGAAAATTTTCTACTCGATTAGCTTTTCTTGCTTCTTCAATATAATGAGTTGTTATCATTATTGTTGTTTTACTTGTTTGTGATAAATATATAAGATGACTCCAGATTCTTAAAAAAAAAAACTTTGAGTAAAAAAAGAAATAAAATTTTTCAATGACGAACTTTTCTCGAAGTAAAGGATCAACTCCAACAGTTGGTTCATCAAGTATTAATAGTTGAGGTTGTTGAAGAAGAGCACATGCTAATGAGACACGACGTTGTTGACCACCACTTTTAAAAATAAATATAATAACATTTGTATTAAAAAGTTTAAATAGAACCTTAATTGTGAAACTCGCTTTGTTTTCGAAGGTAAATCAAGAAATGAAATAAGAAATTCTTCTCGAGATAAAATTTCTCTTCGTTTCATATTATGAAGACGACCGAAATAATGAAGCATCTCTGATATTGAAAAATTTCTATAAAGTGCTGTTTCTTGTGGCATATAGCCAACAGCTCGACCAGGAATTTCATGTCCATGTGTACCTGGCCGTTTACCAAAAACAATTATTTCACCTTGATTTAATTCTAAACGTCCAACAATACATCGTAGAAGAGTTGTTTTTCCACATCCTGATGGACCTAATAGACCATATCTAGATTTAAATATGTTTTTTTATTTTTTTTCTCGATAATTAAATAATATACATGATCCCTGTTGGAACATTAACATTTACACCATGTAAAATTGTTATTGATTTCCACCAATGACCGTATTTTTTCCATGCATTTTCAACACAAACAGCTAAATCAGCTGATTCATTCTCAAAGAAAATAAAAACAAAATGTTTTTCAATCAATTAAAAGTTTAATAAGCTTTTAATTTGCAAGATCAAAATTCATCTTTCAATTTATTTGAAATAAATATTTTAAATTAAAAATCAATCTCAGAACAAAAGCAACAAGCATACATTTATATTATCAAGCACGTTGTCGCTTACCATCATCAAACATTTGAATACAGCTACCGAAGTACGACACTCGATTTTTCTTTTTTTTACATATACAGAACAGGTAAAAAGAATCGTACAGCCGCAGAAGAACGACATCTCTCTCCCTCTCTCTTTCTTTCTTACGTATGTACATTTTTTTCTTCGACGAAGTAGATACCTAAGAAATCAAAAAAATCAAACATTTCGCGTTACTGTTCACGAATCCTAAAGGATAAGACAAAAAAATCTTTTCTTTGTTCTTTTGTCATCTTATTTTTACATCAACGATCTAATTGATTGACAAGCACACTCCATGCACGTGCAGTCGATGAAACAAAAGAAACTCATAATGTACAAGAAGGCATGTTTCCTTTCTCCGAACAACGTAACAACTATGAAAAATGAACAGTTTCGCAATTCAACAATGTAACAAGTAATAGACAAGAAATACCTCTCCTATGGATTCAGTACTTATGTAAAAATATTCGGTTTAAAGCCTGATTCAGGATGTGGTGGGTATGGGTAGTATCTTCATGAACACGCACCTACACTCATAGCAACTTTTTTTTCAAAAACAACTAACAAATCAATGGATTCATATTTCTGAATATTAATGACCCAATTACTGATCGATTAGTTTTCATCACAAAGTATTGTTTTATATCATGGAGGAAAAAAGTTCTTATGAAACTTTATGCGTGTGAAACTTTATACTGGTTTAAGGAACATTTTATCTCGATGAGAGAAAATAAAGATAAATATATCAGTAATCGTGTAAATATTATGTCTCACAATTTTTTATTCTAGACTGATAGAACACTTATTTTTCGACAAGCTTTACAGAGTAATTCAACATTCTTTCAGTGTAAGAGCACATAAATTAAACTAAACATCTTGTTTTTATTACAAAATAGTATATTACTCAATTAGTCGTCGATTGCATATCTAATATCCATCATCATCGAACTTATTCATATTAGTTCTTACAATGAGTACTATAACAAAGGACGTTCGTAACTATTTTAAACTAGATCGTTTAGTAGCACGATCGTATGTTATACTTCGTCAATTATTTAAAAAACGTTATTCTCTATTCAACAGCGGTAAAGTATGGGATGATTCATCAACTTGTGGAAGTAATTATTTAACTAATGTTATTGCAAAAAATAAGAAGTTTAATTTGACCAAGGTTCAAACAATATCTATCGCTAATGGTGATTCGCACCAATGGGATATAGCGACACTTACTTCTCTTCTTCTCAATGCTGATAGTCCTAAAATATTGAGTCAGTCTCAAATATAAGAACTCGATTATGAAGATTTACTTTTAAAACAATTAAGAGATTTAAGAAATAAGTTAGCTCATCATGCATCAAAATCTATAGATAATACTGAATTTAGTCAACTCTGGACTGATGTAACGAACATTCTAGTGCCATTTGGTGAAAGTGACTGTGAATTAGACAAATAAAAAGATGATAGTGTGTTTGAAGCACGTACTCAATCGATTAATGAAGAAAACGTTAAAGAAGCAGCACGTCTGAATACACTTGGCACACAAGCTCATAAAGATGGAAAATTATCCGATGCTATTGCATTATTTACGAAGGCAACCGTATGATCGGGTGTGTTAGACCGTGATCGTGCAATTTTCTATTCGAATATGTCATCTAGTTGTCTTGCATTGTATGAAAAAAAGCAGAATGGTACTTCAAACATCTTTGAAATACATGATCCAAGAAATCAACGATATCTTGCACTTTAAGATGCAAAACGAGCTCGGAATCTTTGGCGTTGGAAAAGTATATGCCACCCTAAATGAACATGATAAAGCTATTAATCCATTTGAAAGAGCATTAGCTCTTGAACCTACAAAAGATGAGATACGAAAAGCATTAGATGAAAGTCGTCATATACTAGGTCGGCAAATGCGTTATGAACACCTTGATCCACGATTCAGTCCACTAACGGTTCCTGAGCAATTAAATGCATTACAAGAAACAATTGGAATAAATCCAGAAAATCTGCTCACGTTACATAGTTTAGTAGAGGCAATAGATTCAGCTGCAGCTGATGTTCTCAAAGGATATAAATATGAGCATGGAGATGCTGATGTTAAGCAAGATTATGAGCAAGCTGCTCAATATTATGCGAAATCAGCAGGTCAAGGCAGTGCAGCCGGGATGTACAATTTAGCTCGATTGACCGATCTTGGTTTGGGAGTTAAAAACGATCATGATATGGCTCTTAAATTGTTTGAACAGGTCGCTGTACAATCACCAGAACATCCTAAATTTAAAGATCGCCGGAACGTTGGCGTAGCTGAAGCCGAAAACGCTCTAGGACGTCATTATTCTGAATGTGTTGGGGTTCATAAGAACCCAGCACATGGAGCTGGCTGGCATTAATGTACCAAGTTGGCAAGGGCGTTGAGAAGAATCTTCAAAAAGCCGAACAACTGTTCACATTATCGGCTAGAAGAGGTGATCCAAATGCTATGGTAAATTCAGCTGAATTACTACTCGATAAAAACGTCTTCGAAATGGCAGAAACATGATTTAATCGAGCATGCGAATCCGGTAGCATTCTTGCTCAAGTAAAACGTGCTGATTTTGAGACGATTTTAAGACAGAAAAAACAACCACTGACTAGTTATCCATCCAATGTTGTATCAATGGTCAATGCAGTGAAAAATGCATTGGATTCGTTAAAAACATCAAAATCGATTTGTGAACTGTCTAAAGGACGATCCAAATATGATTATAATGTTCTAAGCAAATATGCGAATCAAGGTTCAATAAAGGCTAAGAGATTATGCAACGCACTAGAGCATTTCTTTGCAGCATGGGCAATACTAATCGAATCTGATACGTTGACAGAACAACAAGAAAATATATTAGTACATGAACTTTCAGAATGCTATCGTCTTGAACATATTGTCGCACAATTTCCTGACTCCGAGATGCGTGAAAAAGTTGGAAAAATCGTTGATCAAGTACTTTGTCGATGTAGAGAAATGCCAGATTATCCTGCGTCACAACTTGATGAAGATGCTCGAGTCTGTTATGCTTCATTACGCATGGATTCACATGAATTAATCGACCAATTTCTCAATTCATGCAAACAAAAATATCCTAAGTCAATCTATTATCAATCGTTGGTTAGAACGATATGACACTGTCGTGTACAATGCTAATGTTGGCCTAGAACTAGATCCCACGAATAGCAATTTATTAATTGATAAAGCCGTCGCGTGGCGTCTACTGGAGAATCATAATAAAGAAGTTGTTGAAGCGTTCAAATCATTTTTGGCCGTTGCTCCGAAGAATCATCGCAAAGTGCCAGATGCATATTATTCGATGGGCATGTGTTGTCTTGCGCTTAAAACGCATGACGGTCTAGATGTTGCCAAGAAAACGTATGAACAAGACAAAGAGGCAGAGAAACTACAATTACCGTGTTTCTTACCGTATGAATGCAGCAGTGCAAAGCTCCTTGAATTTCTGCATAATATTCCGAGTCTAATAAGTACAAAAGCAGCGACTTCTGTTGTAAACCACAAGGCACGTCATACTGATCCACATCGAACAGAAGTCATCAAACTTCATCGTAAATGGGAGGCGGACATCATCGAACAGACTAAAAATTCCTCTATTTGTATACCAGTCCAATATCACGAACCTAGATTTCGACAAAAAACAGCCAAGTCACTAATTGGCTTGAAAGCAATTTCATTAAGAGAAATCAATCCAACAAAAGATCATGTTTATCAAGGATATGTTCTTTCGGTGAGTGACGGCATAATTGCATGTCACCCAGTAACAGCTTTATATTCATTTCGCAATTACAGTTCACTAATTCAAGCGGAACAATCTGTTCACCAACATCCCTAACGAATCCTAGTGACTGCTCTTATATTAATCAATATAAATATATGTTAAAAGTTGAGAATTTGAGTGTTTTTTTTTGGCATAATGCCCTTTGGGGTATCCACTTTCATACGATCGACGCTAAAACTTGTTACCCTAAAAATCATTGCACTAAATCAACTCCAATTCCTCAACTTTTAATATATGTAGTTGTTCGGGTAGTAGGACTGTAACGACTAGACAGTGTAAGGCTTCTCATTATAGCTGATTGCTTCTTACGCGAATACTCTAAGGGTATTTTGACATTACAATCTCGTTACCAGATGTAATGGTATTGTGACATCTATGCTTTAGGTAACAATTATCGAAGATGGATACTCGTGGGTTCCATGCATTCATCTTGTCATCGAAGATGAACATCGTGATTGCGAACGAATCTTTATTTATAATTTTCCTGATGGACAAGGCGAACATTTTACCAAGAAAGTGTTCACAATCGGCAGCAAAATGCATATTATAAATCGATACCGACGAATAGGTTGAAACGATATGAAGTCGTATATTCGTGTTGACGATTTCTCATCCATTGTCATGCAAAATGAATCTGAGAGAGTGGTTAATATGTGCCGTTGTTGTGGCGAACGAAATGCACGACATGTTTGTAGCAGATGTGACAAAACACGTTAATGTTCCAAAGAATGCCAAACAATAGATTGGAAAACATATAATCATAAACTTATCTGTAAGAAACAGTGAAAACTTCATCTAAACGTATATAGCATTTTAATAAGTTTTGTGAATTTTTTAAAATAGTTTTATTGAACAATATAAGACAACGAACAATCATCTATATAAATTTTAGCACGGGCTTCAGGGTTGGGTGAGAGTGTTGGCGTATAGTATACATGCTTCTGCTGATGCAAATAACATTTAATCAGGAATGAATTGTAGCAAAAGTAGGTGTCGCACGTGAACAACGTTCTATTACTGCACTCTTGGCTGTTAATTTCTCAGTTTATCAGGGATGTTTTATGCATCTCACTGGCATATGATTTTGAAAGATTTCAATAGTATCTAACTTTCAAGAAGATTGGTCTTTGAAGTAAAACAATCAGTAACGCGAATCATTTGCATATTGCCTATTTATCTGCCATGTGTAATTTCATTATTACAAGATAAGAGTGTCAATGTCAACCAAGTGTAGTGGGTGTGGGTGTAAGTGGGAGCGGGCGTGGGTGTAGGTGGGTGTGGGTGTGAGTGTGGGTGTGAGTGTGGGTGTGGGAGTGAGTGTGAGTGTGGGTGTAGGTGTGGATGTGGGTGTGAATGAGAAGAAGATGCACATTCACACCCACACCCACACCCTCAAAGCAAAAGAACACTATAAGCTGATAAGGATCCAAAAGAGCGAATGCAAAGAAAAAGAAAGAAAAAAAAGACGATGACATATATTTGTATTTATTATTTGTCGTATTGTGATACAATCGTTTTCTTAGAAGGGACTCGTGCGATTTAATCCATCTCCGTACAAAGACAAAATAAGATGCGATTTATTTATTGGATCTTTATTCAATTTGACCTTCAACGACCAGCATTTGAATAAAATCTAAAAATTTGGCTTGAGCTAACTTCTTGAAACCAAACAATGCTTTATTTATAAACAAAATGAAATATTTACAAATTAAAAAGTAAAAAAAACAGCTAGATTAAGAGACACAACACCATTGCCATCGTCTTCTAATAACGTCGCATACTTATAAGCAGTTAGAGATGTGACTTTCTCTATGTCAGTTATGAACATATTCTTTTACATATAAAGACAAGTAATGCCACCAGTAAGCAGCACCCAAAGACGCTTCCAATAATGACAGCAATCAGTCCACCCAGCGTCAAGGCTCCCCAACGACGTGCGCTAGGTCTACAGCTTCGAGTAGAAGAAACACATGAGTCAGTCCCTATATAGCAGAAAAATAAAAACGAGTATTGTTGATCTCTTCACGTATTCTTTCAATTGCACTTACACGCACAGCACCATGGATCTAAAGGTGTACCACAACATCGTCCTTTATGAATAAAAATTGTGAAACAATATTCAAAAACCATTAATTTCTACATACCGGTGCGTTGGTTGTATGCTGCAGTGCAACTACCTCCATTACAACAACTTCTGCATTGAGGCGTCTGTGCCACCGACAGATAGAGAAGCGCAATTAATAAAAACAGCACACAGACAACATAGGTTAAAGAGTTCATTTTGTGAAGAATATGTCGTAATAGGTTTCAAGAAGAACAATGAAAAAAAAAGTGTTTTACACTGATTTAATCCTTTACTCTCACCTTTTATATGTTTTAATTGAAAGAGAACGCAATCGAAAATGACGACTTTTTTTTTCATTGATATCAGTTTTTTCTCCGCTTATCAACACTGTGCCAACTTAGTCATCAAACTATTTTATAATGTAACAACAAAAAAGAAATTGTTGTTTTTGAAGTATTAGTTCTTCTAAGATAAACAGATTATTTGTTACTTTTTTCTATTAAGTATCTATGGATAGGCTCTTATCTCCAGAATCAAATTTTCTCAAAATACGGAAATAAAACACGTTCGTCAATATTTGCTATCATCATTTTTATTCTAAACCTGTTCACATCGTTTATCTTGAAGAGGCGTATTTCATGAGTGGACTTTATCTATCTCGTATTACTTGTTGAAAATAAAGAATAAGATAATATCATCTACCCAGATATGACTGTTCTTCATATTTCTAGTATGGCAGAATTTGAAAAAACGAACAGTATGCACATTTGATGAAAGCTGTTGTTAGATACTGTCAATGGATCTAACAATGATTTTTTAATGAGAATGAAATAAGAGTCCCGTTGTGTTTTATATTTCATAATGGACAAAGGGCAAGAGAAGAACGATGTCTTTTATTTATTTATTTTTCGACGCGTGAATGTGAGTAAGTGAAAAAGAGAATAAATTGTACGGTAGATCGACAGGTTTTTGATTTTCACTCTGCACATATCTACCAGAGCCCGAAAACGAACCGAACTCGAACCGAACTAAGACGGTTCGGTTCGGTTCGAGTCGAACTGAACCGATCTCGATCCGGTTTTTTTTAAATTTAGTCGAACCGAACCGAACCCGAGCCGCTCTTTCAAAAACGTAGTCGAACCAAACCGAACCCGAACCACCCTTTTTAAAACAGAATCGAACCGAACAGAACTCGAACCACTTCTTAAAAAGCGACCTTAAGCTGAACTGCGCCTAACTAATTTTTGAAAAGCGAATAAATATGGACAAGTACATAAGAAAAATGATTAGCTGAGCTATAATCTTTTTTGTAAGATTGTGATGCTATATGGGATTATCAAACGATCTTTAATCGAACATTTGACATCAGGGATTGTGGACGATCAATTTATATTTACAAAAATTTATCAAGTCAAGAAATCAATTGTAAAAGATTTCATTTTATTTTGAATTTAAATCGAATTTGTACAAAATTCAAAAAAATTCAATAAACTCAAAATAATTTAGATTACATCTAAATAAATTTGAAGTATTTTAAGCTACATTTTAATTAATTTAAGTTTCACTTTGTATAGTTATCTATAGAAATCAAAAGAAACCTTTCATCTCTCAGGTCTACTAGCAATGGTATCTGTACAAGCTTTTTATTATCGTTAGAAAATAATAGGAACGGAGCACGGCCGTTTTCTTACGGGATCTACTATAGTGATGATCGGATGTTAACGTATAATAGCAGTTTCTCTCTTTATTTCTGATCTATTTTTCTTGAAGTCATGTATTTTGACGATTGGGCTGTTGCATTTTAAATCACAAAAAATTATTATTTCCAGAAATTAATTCTCAAAAATTTAAATCTAAAATAATTTTAAATTTATTTCACATAACAATTTAAATTTATTGTAAATTAAAATTTTGGTATCAGAAAAATTTTTATTTAATTTAAATTTATATTGGCAACAGTTTTAGTTTAAAATAAACTTACAGGAAAATGGCACGCCTATCAGAAACCGAACCGAACTATAATGGTTCGGTTCGGTTCGACTCGAACCGAACCGATCTCGAACCGGTTTTTTTAAAATTTAGCCGAACCGAACCGAACTCGAACCGATTTTTTTTAAACATAGTCGAACCGAACCGAACTCGAACCCACTTTTTTAAGACATATTCGAGCCGAACCGAACCCGAACCAATTTTTTAAAAAATTAGTCGAACCGAACCGAACTCGAACCCGTAAAAGTCGGTTCGATTCGGGCTCTGATATCTACGCAGTTGAACTAGTGAGTTTCGTCTATATTTTTTGTCTAGGATTTGTCCAATCAGTACTTGCTAAAAAATTAGGACTGCGTTAAGAAAATCATTGAAATATTTACAGAATCTTATTAATATACAATCACAAACAAATATTCAGACATGTCCACGATGTCAACGATCAGCAAAGGTCTATCAGGTTTGAGAAAATTTTCTAAACTATCGGAATGTATTTGACTTTTATTTGAACAGCATTTCAAATTACAGACACTGAGACAGATTTATCATCATCACAAGTGGATAAAGCAATTATAGTTTATGTTCGTCTGGTGTTTCTTCGAATAGATAACTGATTAGAAAAACATCACAAACAATCTTTTATTTATTAATAATCTAGGTGAAATCGATACATTAAATGAAAAATATCAAGCATATGCGTCCATCGAATTTCGTTGATCAGTTTCATTTGATAAATTCCCATCTAATCTCTCAGCTGCTGATCAACAACGTTTAGCTCATGGAAAATCTGTTACTCTTGACAAATATGCTGAATTGCATTGGCATCCTCAACTCTGTATGGAAAATAGTTGAGGTGATCTAAAAGAACAAATAAAATATAATGGAAAAATAAACAAAGAAGATAATAAAATATATATTTGTGAACATCGTCATATAAAAGGTTTATTTGGGAGAAAACTTGAATTACATCATTTTCCATCGGATGTTCAACATTTATCAATTTTCATAACATCACTGTTTTTAGATGATAAAGTTATATTAATTCCTGATCCTTATCGTTTCAGTGAAGTTAATCGAGAAGCATTTGTTGATCAACAAGAATGGTCATTATATGAACATGTCGACACTGAACAAAGATATATTAAAGATTTTCTTTTTCGAATTGATGATGATGATGAAGATGATGGTCGACAAATGAAAGAAATAAGTAATAAAGAAGATCGAAAACGTTCAGTTTTAACAGTCACTTGTCATACTGATTTGTATTTAAAAGAAAAACAAAATGAATAAACAATATTTTCTTTCAAAGCTCGTCAGTCCGATTACTTTTGGAATGAATATTGTCTTGTTTTATTAATCACGGCCGTATCTTCTTGTACTACTTTTTGAATACCAATACAGTGAGTCATTTATATCGATTATATATTATAGATTATTATTTTCATTGTAAGATTCTCAGTACATCGACTTCAGGTTTCATGTACACTTTTTTTGACATCGATTACATTTCGTTGGACAGTGAATAGACCACTTGGAAGTCTAATTATTTCTTTTATTTTTATTTATCTCTCAACTTGTTTTTTCATTTAGCGTACAGTTTCTTATTTAATATCATTGGATAAATATGGACTATAATGTATATTTAATCTAGTTCTTCATTCTATTGAGCATAGTATTATTAGTATGATTCCATGGGAATATATATCAGATTATCGTGTGGCAAAAAAATCGTAGATTGCGTATTTAGATCATCGAGCTGTCTATGTTTTTATCAGCATTTTTATTGCTTTTCACATTATAATTGTCATTTGGCTTTATGCTGCTCCACCCAAACATCGTGAAAAAAATGAAACAAAATGATATTCGATATAGAACATTAATGCTCGAGAAGATTACAGGCATCAATAATCAAGAGAGCAGACTATCTACAGAAAATTAAGAACTATATGATTCTTTGAAATTAATTTTTTTTAAAACAGTTTTTCATTATCTATTTTATTTTAATAAATCATTAGAAAATCAGCGAAACGATTTTGGCTCCGATATAGTCTTGTCCATGATGAAAAACGAACAAATGAACGATTTTTTTTACTTGAAAAATTTGCGTGTACTTATTTTATTTCAATACGCTAATGATAAACTGGAGGAGTAGCGTTACCGCCACCCGCAGTACAGATGTTATAACATATTACAAAGAAACGCTAATACGAAAAGTAAAATCCGACAAAAACAGACAGGATTCGATCGGATTTTCTGCAAATCCGATGTCGGATCCGACATCGGAATCCGTTAGTTAGGATTCCGACAAAATTGGGATAGGTTTCAGTCGGAATTATTTGGAACCGACAGGATCCGATCGGGCGTGATTGACCTGGGTATTCTTGGTAAAAATATCAAGTGATTGGGTGTGGGTGGGTGTGAGTATTGCTCTTCCCTTAACACACGGCCCCATACCCATACCCACTCACACTCATCAACACCCACCCACACACCCACACCCACCCACATCCACACACCCACACTCACATCCACCCACACCCGCACTCACACCACACACCCCACACCCATCCTATATAATAAAAATTATTAGTTCGATATGTTGAGTGATAATTGAAGAGCGAATAACACACAAAAAAAAAACGTAGGAATGCAGAAATAAAAGATAGAAACATCGAAGAAGTATCATGAAATCAAATCAAATTTGATAATTGAGTTCAAATCTGAAAATCACTATCTACGTAGATTTTCTCTTTGAAATAGATAATAGAAAAAAATTTACAGCGAAAAATCATAAAAAATTATATATTGAATTATTGTAAATGTTTTCGTATTGTAGAATTATTAAAAACTCTTTCAAATGAATCATGCGTCAGAGGCATTTGATTGCTTTTTTAAATTGTTTTGTATAGAAATTTGATGGTAAGAAAAAAATAGGAAAAATAACAACTAGATGAATAAACGAGATCAAATAACCGGCTAAAGATGACCTTGTTTCACGAGCCGATTTCGTACAATCAAAACGAAAAGCAGAAAGAAGTCGGGACAGTGATAATATGACAAGAGTGATTAAAGAAATAAGATGTGGTACTTGTTCACTTTAGACATAGCGCTCACCATCACCCTCACGGATACCCTCACCTTTTGATGTCCCTTTGATCTGTGTTTATTAAACACGCCAATTAGTGCATAGAATATGTCTAAAGTGAACAAGTAGTACCTTCTTTTTACAGGTCACATCAAATTGAAAGATCACAACGTTCTAAGAGAAAGATAAATATGTCTGTTTTATATTTCATCATATTAGTCGGATATCAATTTTTTTTTCGTCGAATTGGTTCATTTTTGAATAAAGAAAGAAAAAGGAAGGGAAGAGCTTTTCCTTCTCGTTCATTATAGACGTTCACCGCCGTCTTGTGATTTCATCGTAGAATATTGCATAACTGCATGTATATATATCCATTTTTCTATCGTAGAGAAACTTTTAAACAGGTAAAAAATTTATTTTTGTTTTCGTAAGATTTAGACGTCAAATAACTCTTTTCCAGAAAAATTATTTATATTAAAACCATTTAATATTGATTAGATGAATTGATGAGAAAAAAGAGATTCTTCCATCTTGTATTTTTTTATTTGGTTTTGTGAAAAATTTGTCAAATAAAATAAACAAAGCTTGACAGATTTGAATAGATTAATATATGACAATGAAGGAGGTTTAATCGGTATATTTGAAATAGTTATCGACTTTTTTAGATAATATGTTAAATAGATTAGAAAATCTCGCAAATGAAATTTTACTTATGATATTAAATCATATAAGATGGTTTGAAATGATTGAATCGTTTTGGTCGTTAAATAAACGCTTTAATGATATTATTTATTTAAAACTTTCAATGACTAAAAATGGAATTGTTATTAGTGAGAAATGTTTATCTTTCAATCATTCTAAAATTCTTCGTTTTGTTAAATTAAAAAAACTTATTCTTAAAAAATGTTATTTGACGAAAAAATTGATTGAACATTTATTATTTCTTATTGAATATCAATTGGATGAATTAATATTTACTGTTGATAAAGATATTTTTAAATTAACTCATTATGAAAAAATGTCTCGAATAATTCGTCATAATGAAGGTCAATTGCAATTTCTCCTTTTAAACGTTAAATTTAAATGCTTTTTTTGTTCTAGAATCGAAATTGATGCTTATGTTCAAAAAATTCCTACGTACATTATTTTCTGATAAATGTCGTTTAATATCTCTTGAAGTTGATATATCAAATGATGTTAGTGCCGTTGATATTCATAAATGTTTTTCATTATCTTCTATTTCAATTAACAATGTAGTTGTTACTCATTGTATGACTCTTCGTTATTTACATATTCATTTAATTTATGGTTATTTTCTTGAACGTATTATTGAGCATGCACCTGCTCTTGAAACTCTTTCAGTTATATTCAAAGATTCGTTAATGAAAGAATCATCATATGAACCGAGTATGAAACGATTTGCATCAACTATTCTCAATTGGTATGAAAAGGTAAACAAAAATGAGAAATTGAATCTATTCAATGTTCAATAAAAAGAGAAATAGATTTGTAGAATAATATCACGTCAAACGCACTATTATCATTATGCCGATGAGAAAATTCTTTCCATATGTTATCTCAAATTGTTTTTAGATCAGTTCAATCTAACATTTGATTATTTTTCTTCTAAACAGTTTTAGCAATTATAATATGAAGACAAATTATAGTAAAGTCGAATGTTGTCTTAGTTCGAATAGATAAATCAAGCTGAATAATCATATTTGATAATGATTATTGACATAAAATATCTTTAAGTTTATCAATGAAAAAGAATTCATTCGTACCAAAAATAGACTTCTTATCAGAGATTCCAAAGGTGCAATGTCACACCGTCCCATTTTGGCCCTGAAATGGAGTGCTGATGGTGCTTGTTTTAAAGAGTCGATCGTGGCAATGCTGTATTGTAACTGCGCCACGGATTCATAGTTATTACTAATCTAAAGAAGAAACAATACTTGTTATCTTTATATAACACTGATAAATAATTCTCTTGAAAATGAGCGATGAGTCAATATACGGTTAAAAATTCGTTTGGTTATTTGTTTTGAAGTAGAGTATCTTCTTTATTATATTATATAATGAGAAGTTTTTGTTAACTAAATTGAAATTAATGAATAAATATACAGATTATCTTGTTGATCATTATTAATCCGCGTTTCTTTTGAAGTTTCTAAAAGATTTCTTGTAACAGATTCTCTACGAACACGCACCTCGTGTGAAAGCAGGGATTCTATCGAATTTGGATGAACTTCTGTGCATGGCGATTAGGTGACAATTTGTTTTTCTTTAGCATTATTCATATTTAATGATTACTGTATTCCAATATCTAATTTGGTGTCACCCGAACTGGTCCCATTTTTTGTCCGATGAAAATTCGTTCCATTTTTTTATATCCGAACTCGTCCGATACAAAAAAATTGATTCCTAGTTCGTCCCATTCTATATATACTTATTAATTTATCAATTAAATTTGAATAGCAAGAGAAAAAAAAATGTGAAATTATTATTGACGTTTTGTCATTTCATTCTCTTCGTCTCTCTCTTATCTGCATTGGTCTTTTCCCTGCCTTCCATATTACGTCATCATATATGTTTAGTCTTATACTTTTTTTCACGTTCTGTCATTCTCTGATATTCTTTGCGATTGATAGGTTTTCTCCCAATCGATTATTTTATTTGTCTAATGGATATTTCCATCATAAACTCTGTGTTCAGTTAACTTGTGTCTCTTGTTAGCATATATATATTGTACTGAACCTAACATAATCTTATTCATATCTTAAACATGTACGTATCTAATATGTTTCGATTTAGCTATTGAAACAGGAAAAGTAGTAAAGATTAAGAAAAGAAAAAAATAACATGTATTCAGAGGCGTACCTAAAAGGGGGATTAAAACCACAAATTTGCCCTCGTAATATACGAATTAAATCGAAAATGACGTGGATTGTCCACGTCATTTTCGATTTAATTCGTATATTACGTGATCAACTACCCAAGCAGACAAGAATTTGGAAAAACGCGTTTAAACCCTACAATCGGGAGCCGCGATTGTGATCCACTCACGCTCAAAAAAATAACGCCGTTTTTTGCGTGTTTCGCGTTTTTTTGCGCTTAATTTTCAGTTTTTGGCCGTGAAAACGGCGAAAATCCCACTTTTTGAGCGTTAAAACGTGCTTTTACTTCTGAAGTTTTCTGGAACTTAAAAATCAAGCGTTTTAGCGCTCAAAAAGTGGGGTTTTCACCGTTTTCACGGCCAAAAACTGAAAATTAAGCGCAAAAAAACGCGAAACACGCAAAAAACGGGGTTATTTTTTTGAGCCTGAGTGGATCACAATCGCGGTTCCCGATTGTAGGGTTTAAACGCGTTTTTCCAAATTCTTGTCTGCTTGGGTACGCCCCCCCCCCCCCCCCGTGCTAGGAACGTCCCTGCATGTATTATTCTTGTATGCTCTTTTATTGTGTTATACTCTTATTTATTCTTCTTGTATTTCTGTTTAAAAAAAATTGGTAAAGAATAAATTATGAATGAATATTAATTTAGACATGTTAGATGATAGATTAATAAGAAGTGTATATAGAATGAGACGAATTCGGATAGAAAAAATGGGACCAATTCGGTGTAGACCTCTAATTCTTGCGCTACATCTTTATAGATATCGATAATAATTAAATTACTAAAATGTATTATTCTTGATGAATATTTAATGAAAGATTATTACATTTAAATAGTTCTATGCCGATCACAAGGTGGAAAAATAATAATTGTGACGATATAGATCCTATTCATTTTGACACGAAATGATACAATCAAAGAGTCAGTACAGACATAATTCGCGTTTATTGATAGACGAAAATCTTAGTTCAAGGATACAATTATCAGCAGCGCCTTTTTGAAATGTCCAAGTAACAGACACCTTGCAAATGGATAGTAATTTTGTCTCGAGTAGGGGGCCCTAAAATTGTGCATAATTCTCTATGAAGAAGTGTTTGATTTGAATATGAAATGAAACATCCTTTTGTATAATAATTTTTTGTAGATGCCAAAATTAAAATGTTTTTCTTTAAAAAGTGTTATTCTCGACGACTTGCAATTAGTTTATTTAAAATGGATTATTAATAATGTATATTACATTGAAAAGCTAAAAGTTCGTTTAGATATAAAAACTCGAACGAATGAAACTAATGTTATTGATGTAAATTATCTTCGTGAATATATAATGCCTGATATATTAATTCATTTGATCGATTTCGATTTTTATATTGTATCGAAATGCAAATTATTATTTGAAAATGATATTGAAAAAATAATTGATTCGTTTAAAAATGATCGAATTTTTATTGATCGTTATTGGACAAATGTTAAATGTTATTTTGATAGAGCTTTGTTATGTCAACATATATCATCAATCAGAATAATTAAACCGAAATTATTTGACAATATTATGTAAGATATTTAATTTTGCGATAATAGAGAATTTGTTTTATTCTTGTTTTTAAGAGATTATCCAATGATTTTTGATTGGGAAAATGTTAAATGTATGAAAATTGATTTATGTCCAGCAATTTATTCATTTCTGACTGAATTTGATAAAATCTATCCCCACATTAGATCTATTGAATTTAATATGGGTAAATATTTCATTATATAAAAAAGATTGAAAAGAGATTTTTCTAGGTTGACTTGTTCTTCGGAAGAAAATCTCTTAAAATATTCATTTATTTCATCTTAATGATGTTTTAAAATTTAATTATCGAGAAAAATTATTTTTTTTTTTTTTGTAGGACGACACAAATATCTTAGTCATTTAGCATATTCGACGTTTTTGCAGTCATCATTGGACATAGTAAATGATATTCATTTTCAATACGTTACAAGACTTGATTTTGGTTCTGGTTTTTGGCGTGGTTCTGGTAAATTACAATTTTATTTTTGTGGTTATCCGAAATGAGTTCTTTTATCTTAACTGTCATTACTATCGAAATTCACTGAACTAAGTCCAACTAGTTTTGCGAATATTTATGCAAACTAATTATCTTTGAGTGATGTGTCATTTTTATAGAGAAATATTTTCTTATTACAAAGAAAACAAAATATTTCTGCATTATTATATAGCAGTTAAGCGTCTAACGATATTTAATCGATTGATAGATGGTAGAGAACATCTGAAGATTGATAGTAGAGATCATCTCAAATGGAATCATTTAGCTGTTCTCGAATATGTTTGGATATTAAGAAAGATGAAAAGTAATAGTCTCTATTTAATATCGATAATGGTACCACACAATTCAATAATGATTCTAATCAGTTGATTATTTGTCTAACATAAAATAAACAAAAATTCGACACTTTTGAAGATCTATTCGATCTAAGAAAATACTTCTACCGAAATTAAATAAACATAGTCAATGGAAAAACTGTCTTTATTTAACTTCTCTGACATTTTAAAGACAAACACACGTTTTTTGCATATGGAAAATATATTCATATGACAATAGATTAGATCAGCTCTGTATGGACTTGATAACAATTTATTATTATTGAGAGAATGTATTTGACAGGGCTTAAAAGCTTGAAAAATGAGTTTTAAGTTAATAAATCGTTTTTTGTTGTTTGTTCTATGAGTATTTTTGTTCTTTTTAAGAATAGAAATATGAATTGAAATAATGGATTGAGTGAAGTTTGAAATAAAGTTGCTGTTATATTTAGAAATTGATCTTTGGATAATTAAAAACGGAAAAGATCTTTAGAATTACTTAATAATCATAAAATAAACGATATAAATCGATATATATGTTTGAATGATATATATCTTTCTTGTATAGGATTTAGTTAGATTTCAGAATATTTTTGTTTACAAAAACCTGATTAAAATCTTTCTATAGCATATAATGACCACTGTATTAATCGAACTAAACTACGTGCACAAGTCCTTGCCTATCTTATTTCAATGCCAATTCAGTTGATTTATCTTCGAATCGAACAATTCGAATGGTTCTTGCACCTTATTGAATATGTAAGTATTCATTAAATTAACCTGTTTTTTAAATTCCTTTTATTAATTTTCAATGATATTTTATGTAAATTAACAAAATATTATCATTTGGAAAAACTAATATGTTACATTTTGCATAATATACTTCGATTAAATATATTTTCATTATGTAGAAAATAACAAAACTGTTCGGCTTTTCTGCTTCGATCCATACGATATCGCTAATAGGAGCACACGTCTTTTGTCATATTGCTCTTCAAATAGCATTTTTAGCCCTTTGAGGACCAAATTTTGTTTCAATCAAAATGTGCTTCTTCAATCAATTTATTGTATGTGGTTCACAATGATTAGATGAAGACTTTATAACAATAACATCAAGGGAAAGACGAGAAATCACGATATTAATATATAGCAGTACAACAAAAGGAGAATATCTGAGAAGGATCTATATTACAGAAAGGAAGTGAGAAAAGATGCATAAGATTAGAAGTAGAACAACATATTACCTTATAGGCTATAACAATTAAATGTAGAGCAAATATTTTCTCAACTGAAAAACAGGTAGGACAACGTATGTCCCACAGTCCTCCAAGGGTTAAACTACATTCACATGTCATTTCTGTTAATTAGAGATCTTAAGGTTGTTAAGTTGTTCTTGTATGACAAATAGTGAAGATCAGTCTGTAATATTCGATGGGTAACTGACGCTGAAATTTTCTATTATGGGTTGTCGTTGGACCCTCCTCCTAGAGATTGTCTATGAGCTACATATCCGAGAAATGAAGTCTAATGCAGGATTCTCACTTCAATACAGTAAAATTTAAGATATCTGTCCTTTGTTATTCTTTAACACTCAGATTAATATTTTTTATCATCATTATGTATTAACAATTGATCGGGAAAATACCTAATGGTTAATGTTTTATCCAGGTTTTTACTCCGGGAGGGCGAATTTAGTTGTCGGGAGGGCAAGCAAAAATTTTTTAAGGTTGACATTGATCAATCATATGTGTTAATCAGATTATACTAAGGAAAACGAATTTGTTCTATTTTAACAACATTTTATCAACAATTTTTCCAAAAATCTCTCATAAAAAATAGTTTTAGAAAATTATATTATTTTTTTTAAAACTTATTTCATTTTTCTCGAGGGGGGGGGGGGCAAATGCCCCAGGCTCCCACACTGGATAAGACACTGCTAATGTTAGTCGAGCATTTCAATCCGAGGGATTGTTCTAACAAATTTTTCTTGATGTATTGTTCCAGCTTTGCAATGCAGATTTTTCCGAACTGTGTTCATTATTTGAGAATAGTATGGTATAGCTTGTATTATGTGCATTTCTATCTATAACAAAAACTATGAAGAGATCTGAAAAAGATATTTGTTGATCAATGACAACCTCTGTACTTATTTTATGCAATACTTCCAATATCGAAATTTTTATTTTGTTCACGTAAATAAAAAAATAATGAGTTTTAAATGACATTTGGTATTGATTTTTAGGCGATTTCCTGTTGAGTCTTTTGATAAAAAAAAGATATATTGATCAAGCAAAAATAAGGAAAAGAGAAGTTGAGAAAGGTAATACTGAAATCGTTTCTGGTACACTTGTTAATAATTATTGACGTTTGAGAAAAATAAATATGACTTTAGTTCAACGTTTGAATGACAAACAAACGACTACAGTTTGTTCATTTGTTCTAAATGTCATTTTTATGAATCAATGTTAAAATTTAATTATTCTTATTTTTAGGCATCCGATAAACTAAGAAAAAATGCATTGACTACCGTTCGACACATCGAATTTTGTCTGTCGAGTTGTAATTATGGTTCAGACGAATCGGCTCATATGGGTAAAAATCTCGTACCTCTTCTCAGTAGTTTTACACCATATTTACAAACATTGCGTCTTTGGCGGGATGACGACTTTCCTTGGACATCAAGTAAGTTGATATATTTTCAATAAAAATATTTTTTTTCTACGAATATTTAATTGAAGAAAATCTGAAGAGTTTTTCGATTTGATAAAATTTTTTATAAGATAAATTAATATAAAATATTTCTCTTTGTTTAAGTTCGACCAAAATATGAAACAAAATATTTATGTCAAGTTTTCAGTAGACATTGGATAAAATCCTTACGAACAACTCAGTCGATTAGTACGTTTATCAAAGAAAAAAAAATTACAAATAAATTATTTTAAAAAAAAATTTTTTTATTTAGCTGAACATGTTGCTGTCTTTCAACAAGATCTTTCTGAATTAGTTGAACAATTAAAAGAACTTGTTTTACTCGATATTTATGGAGAAATCAATCGTGAAAAAATCGAACCTTATCGTTCTATGGTTCAAATGCATTTCCCTAATAGTCGAGTTCATATCGAAATAACAAGATTTCGTTTTTGGGTTTGATTTTTTTTCTAAGAATAAATTGGAATTGATTGAATATCAAAATAAATAAAAAAAAATATGCTGCGTTATCTCAATACGATTCTATATACATACATACATTATTGGAAAGTTCTTTAAACATATTCTGAAACAAATTTTAAATTATTCAAAATATCTTTTTCCGTAAGAAAAATATATTTATATTTGTGTAATACATTTTACATGAATTATTATAAAAGAACATATGACAAAAATAAAACAAAATAAATAATTGAATGTTTTTAAAAATCAAATTCAGTTTAGAAAATAGTTTATTTATTTTTTATTTCGTATATTAAATCGATGAATAAACAATAAATCAGTCGATAGAGAGGATATGTTAAAATCGGTCGAATGAATC